ACTTTTCCTAAACCTTTCCCAGAGTTCAGGGCTGGTTTGGAACTACCTGTACTATACTGACCGACTGAGCATAAAAAGGGTGGAGTTGGCAAACATATAGCACCAATCATTGATACTAAGTCTTTTAACTCTGTTTAGCCTTCTCCAAATACTGAGCAGTCTCATTTGCCATATGTTCTCTTGGTACACAGTAGAGAACCTCCTTGTGCTGCTAAAACAAACAAAAGTCTTATCACCACTTTTTTTTTCCAAACAGGAATACTATCTGTGTGTCAAAGTAAAAGAAAACAGAAATTTGCTTTGATTATACTTTCTTATAATCAGTGATGACATATTGCCCCCTTCTCGTTGATTACCACCTGGAAAGAAACCATCGTTCTGCTAAAATTAATTCAAGTTTTACTTGAGTTTCTTTTCATCTGACCTAGTGTTTTCTGTTTGTGAATTCAGTCTTCAAACAACATTGGTTGAAACTAGTACAATGACTTGACTTGTTGGTTCAACTCGGTCTTCTACAGAACATGCTTTTGCTAACCCACATTGCATCTTTTGTGGTTTCATTTGAAATAAAGATTGGTCTCATAAGGTCACTTTCAACTCCAGTGCCACTTCCTCTTCCAAATAGGTACTGATATTAAGCTTTGCACAGTCCAATGTGTATCACCAGTAAATACCCATATCGGTTGTACATACAGTTGTTCAACCTTGATGATAAGCCATAGGATTGGCTTTGAATTGTTTTTCATACAATTGTTCATTTTCCTGTAGTGACTTGGATATGCCATTTGCCAAATGGACCAAGGAGCAGGTTTGCAATTGGCTTGTGGAACAGGGCTTGGGGTCCTACCTGAATTCTGGCAAGCACTGGATTGCATCTGGCCAAACACTTTTGCAGGCTTCTCAACAAGATCTAGAGAAGGTGACTGCTTCTTTGTTTTTGTTTACATAATGAATTCTGAGAGAAAGAGAGAGAGAATGTGAATGTAGGATTGTTTTCTACGCCTTAAATGGGAATGGGGGGAACCAGTAAGTGCTCTTGGAAAAGTCTGGCTTTCCTGCTTCGTACTTATTTTATTTCATGGACTAAAAACAAAGGATCTGGTTGTAATGATTCCTTATGGAACACTTAAGCCACTGGGCATTTTAATGAAAAATAATTGTATGGCCATAATAATAAACCTTAAGCTCATATTTCTCAAAATCATTCTGTGGCTTTATCGTTATTAACCCGTCTCCCCAATGTAATATATGCAATTCAACTTCACTTTGCAAAAGGCAACAACAACAAAAAAAGAGCTCTACATTTTATGTTCCATTATTTAACATTTCCCAATTATTTAATAAGAGTAGAATTCCTGTTCTGCATCCTACAGTCCCAGTCTTGCCCAGAAAGGAGCCTGCTACTGAATGTCTCACACTCCCCACTGAACTAACTCCAGTGGTCTTGGCCTTCTAGGGGCCTTTTGTTCAGCAACTCTTTACTAGCCAGAGTTAGCATTCTGATTTAATGCCATTGTTGGCTCTCGGATGTTCACTTCATTTTGGAGGAATTTGCATTCATTGCCAGTGGCACCCAGCCCGTATTGACAGGATTGTAAAGCCAGTGTTTCTGTTTATTATTTCAGGAACTTGGAATCAAGCATTCACTTCATCGAAAGAAACTCCAGCTGGCATTGCAAGCTCTGGGATCTGAAGAGGAAACCAATCACGGAAAACTGGATTTCAACTGGGTCACTAGTAAGAGGTTTTAAATTCTTGAACTCCTAAATAAGGAAGCAAGCAAATAAATAAATAATGCCACTCTTCCTTTTTAATCACAAGGACAGGTATTCTATGGCACGTTAACAATGCGGATTTCTCTCCTTTAGGATGGTTGGATGACATTGGTCTCCCCCAGTACAAGACCCAGTTTGATGAAGGCCGGGTAGATGGTCGAATGCTCCATTACATGACTATCGTAAGTGATACCCTCCTGGGGTGTGGGGGTTTTCACAATGATTCACCAAGTTTGAATACGTTGCTTTAACTTGAAGATAGGGGCAGGAATATTTCCCATTAGGTTTAAATTGTAGGATTTGGTGGTTGCAACAGTGTTGGAGGATTTAAAACCTAATTTAAGTCAAACTATCCAGAAAATTGATTTCATGTATAATCAATATTGTTGATATTGAAGTGCATACTTTGAATGGGCGAATTGTATGGTGAGTGAATTATATCTTATGTTTTTTTAAAAATAGAGTATGGAATTTTTAATCCCTGGCAGTTTCTAAATTTCATATTCCTGTATGCAGTGACCACTCAGGAAAGGCTACCCTTCTGGCCTGAAATCCAGAGGGACTTGTCTTCTCTCTTCCCTCTCACATTTGAGAACTGTTACCTGGAACCTTCTCACTTCTGCCCAGCTCTGCTAGGGCGGGAGTCACCCTGGGGTAAAGAAGTAGGGGAAAGGTTGACTTTCACTCTGATTCCTTCATTATGGTTTCATATGTCTAGCCTTTTGCCCCAGGGGTAGAAGGACTTTCCCCTGCTTTACAACAGTGGGGAGAGATGGATTCCAGGAGAACGTGTTCTAGATGCCGCAGTACTAGCTGGGTCCTACCTGACCTACTTTTACTGAAACAAAATTTATTTTATTTATTTATTTTATTATATTATATTTATTTAATTTTATGAGACTGGAATTGTTCTTAAGCATACAATATAGTGCCTTGCATATAACAAGCAGCAGAAGACTCGAAGGTCTCTTCTAATTCAAAGATTCACTGAAAATATGCAGCAGTGGTTATCAGCTCAGGAACTTAGTTTCTCAGAAAAAAATATGCCTGTTTTGTACTTGGTTACTTCTAATCAAACAAGAATAAACTCTGTTTCTCATACTAAAAAAAGGAAAAAGAAAATATGCAGCAGTATCACCACCACCAGAATGTGTACATGACCAGCACAGTGGTCACTACCATCTTTCAGTCTGAATCCTAATCATTAAGTTGCAGTGGAAGTGGGGTA